AGGAAAGGGTATTCTTAACATCAGAAGAGGAGATACTTCTCCTATACAGATTTTATTACCACCTCTCTCAGTGCAAACCAGGTTAAAGGAAAACCAATCTACAAATTGACTTTGCCAAAATCACAACTTTAGAAGGCTCTGTGAAAGCCAAACATGTCTACTGAAAGCAAACAAGCAAACTATTCTTTTCTTTTATGTTCATAATTTTGGGTTCTTTTCTTTTACTTATATTTTTAATTGAAGTATAGTTGATTTACAATGTTGTGTTAATTTCTGCGGTACAGCTAAGTGATTCAGTTATACATCCATATACACATTCTTTTTTTTAATATTCTCTTCCATTATAGTTTATCACAACTATTCTTGATGGAAGTTTTAAAAAGCAAGATAGGATTTTTATCTCATAAGTATTTAATTTTTATAGCAATGATTCTTATCAAGTAATAAAGTATTTCTGTGTTGTCAGATTTATTTCCACAATTATAAATCCACCCTTGGTGAGGAAGCAGGTTCTACTGGAAAATTTCTAACACAAATAATTAACAGTTAAGCAACAGGTTTCATGTAGCAGGTAACAAAAGCCTTATCAGAGAACTCAGTGACGTGAACTTCATTTAGTCTCATTTAGTCTCAAGTAAAGAAAACTCAATATGAACTCATTTTCATTTTTTTTCCTCCATAGCCCCTTTACAGAGTTTTTAAAAAGAAAGAAAGGGGCTTCCCTGGTGGCGCAGTGGTTGAGAGTCCACCTGCCGATGCAGGGGACACAGGTTCGTGCCCCGGTCCGGGAAGATCCCACATGCCACGGAGCGGCTGGGCCCGTGAGCCATGGCCGCTGAGCCTGCGCGTCCGGAGCCTGTGCTCCGCAACGGGAGAGGCCACAACATTGAGAGGCCCGCGTACCCCCAAAAAAAAAAAAAAAAAAAAAAAACTGTTTAATTAATTATGTCCTTTTTCAAACAATGGTTTTAAAGGGAAAAATTAAGAACACAGAAATTTTGACACTACAATGATGGGATGGAAGAGCAAGCATTCACAGACCTCTGAAATGCTTTTATAGACAGATACAAAATTCCCTGATACTATGAAATATAAAGAGTTGGAAATAAAGAGTTGAGAAGGCTATCTACCTCTTCCACATGAAGAATTTAGTTGTGCATTTCTCTCTCTCAAAATTATAATTCTTGAGTATATTTTCTAAAAAACTACAAATTGTTTCCAATGCAAACAGTTGTTCAAGCAAGTATCTATGTTTGATATATCCTTTGCTAATATCACCACTGCCATTCCAATGCGCTACAGCTTATTACTCAAACAATTCCATCATTATTACCAATTTCTCTTTATGATTTCTCACTCTGAGATGAGAGCAAAATCACTACTCTGGTTCAAACCACCCACAGAGTGTATCTTCAAATCAATTGCCCGGATTTGTTTCCAGAACACATTACATGTTGCTGCCTAGGGAATTGGTTTAGGAAACATTATACTTGGCAGCTGACTTATCAACAGTGCCCGTAGAATTGACACCAACCTAAAGGCCAGAGTCTGTCCAGAAAACAGAAAAATATGCTGCTACTGCCATCTGTGGTTTATGCTTGAATAGCTTCTCCCATGTAAACAAACTGAAAGGTGTAAGGTTCGCAATTAAGATCCAAAGACTTCATCATTTAAAGATACTTTTTAAAATTAACTCTTAATATAACAAACTGTACAGTTTATTAAGTATATGACATAAGAATCTGTGATTCTCTATTTGAACTTTTTAATATAATGCTGATGGAGAAACCACAACTACTTTGAATGAAAATTTTTCCACTGCATAAAGGCTAACTTTTGTTTTCCCCAAACACACATTCCTAAAGAAATTCAAAACACTTAAGTGCCTCCTGTGGACTTATAATTAGGATAATTTCTCTTTTGAAATAGTGATTGTCAATGCTAAAACATCCCCCAAATTTTTAAAGCAAAAAATGTATTTTTAAGGAAATTTAGGAATTTTCTATTTAGACATGAGAGTTTGCGCCCTTCAAAATAAATTTTAAAGATTCAATTATCCCTATAATTTTTTTTCTAAGAACAACTTCCAAGATGCAAATGAAGCCTCAAAGTAGACTATTTTCGCAACTTATTTTCTCTCAGTTTGCTTTCTCAAATGACAACCACTGTAGCTTAGGGATCAAAAGATTTGGTGCTGCTGGGGGTGGGGAAAAAAGCAATTCAGGTCCCCGGCAGCCAGATGAGGAAATCCTGGTTCGCTCCCCAATTAAATCACTGTTAATTAGAATTACCAGGTTACATAGTAAAGTCTTATTTAAATAATCGTAAACAAAAAAAAATCTGTTTCTTGAAAAGCTGTTCTCTGCAGGCTACTGTTTAACAGCAGGTAGTAAGGGAAGAATGAAATACAGTAGGAAATGTTTTAATCTTTCAAGTAAAGTTTTCTATTTATAGTTATTTCTAAACCACACTGAAAAGGCAGGTTAGCCACCTCACAATGGTTTTCTTCCAATTTTCCATTATCTAAGGTCTAACAGTCTTATCTTTTTCATAAAGACAAGCCATGGTGGAAAACAAGCAATAAATAGAAGACTGGGCCTGATTCTTGGAATACTGTATATCAAAGTTAATCCAGAGTTTGTTTTTTTGGGTTTTTTTGTTTGTTTTTTAATATAAGAATAAGTTCAGACGAATCTGAATCTTCGGCTCTAACAGGGACGCAACAACCGAAAAAGAATTACCTGCTCAGTACTTCTTGCTGACTTTAAATAATGCTGGTATTTCTGAACCCTAGTTATCGATCAAAGGCATCCGTAAGCCCTTAAGAAATTACCTGAACCAGGAAAAAGTTGACCTTAAGAATACAAAAGTTTGAAAGAAAACGTTTTCTTTCACAACTTGTTCGTCTCAGAAATACTTTCGAAGTATTACAAAGAGTTGGGTATATTAGATCGCTACCTGTGTGGACATATTCAATAGCTACCTTCTATTTAAAATTGTTTCAAAGACTCTCTTATTCTTTGCTGAAATGCAAGATTTATCTGTTGATTCATAACTTCTGATTTTTCTGACTGTGAACCTTTTTCACATATAAGAGGACTGGTTCACACAAAATAAGGCGTTTTTATTGTCCTACTTTAATAGAGTAGATTTGACCAACAATGTAAAATTTACTCGTAAGTGGCATCTTCCCAAATTTAACCTTCAACCTAATTATATAAATGGAAAAAATACTTAAATGGAAAATGTCATTTAACTTGGCTACAACACAAAAGTATACAAGAACCAAAAATTATGACAAGGCCCTGAAGTCCTACATGGGCTCGCTGAAAATAGTCTCCTAATGTGGAAGGAGCTATCCCGGCTTTTGAAATTCTGAAGCCAAAAGCTACCATCTGAATACAATTCATTAATGGACCAATTTATTCAACACAAACCAATAAATACCCACCTAGTTATAAAAACAAAGTGATGGTGTCTTAATACAGGATGAAACTCACAAATACAGCCCCAGGCCCCAGAACACGCAAGCATCATTAGCAATTTAAAGCCATCTTGCACAACAGGCTCTAGAAGTGGTAGAAACTTCCTTTACCAATATCATACTTGCAGTTGGCACTTCTACCCTCCAATCTCCACTAACCTAAACCTAGATATTTAAACCTTTGCTCCACAACCCCAGGAAAAAGTAGAAAAATCTGAGAAACCAAGAAGTTATGAATACAGAATACATGATTTGGGCATATTTTAGGAAATTTACCAGCAGTTTTTTCATTAGCTCATCTCCCTCCTCCCCCTCGCTAACTCCCTTTCACATGCTAATTCATGCAGTATACACACACACACACACACACACACAATTTTGCTATAGAATTCAAAATGATTTATGGATTAGGAACATGTCATGTTCATACTCTGATTACATGAAACAGAAATGCTCAGAAAGACGACAGTGGATGGTAAATATGAGATTGGAAATGTGGTCATCTCACACCTCAGCTGCTCAAAATCACCAATGAATCTGTTCATTGTTGCCTTTCACTGTTCTTTGGAGGTCACAGAACCTACTAAAAAAACACCTGTTTGCTGTTTTACTAAAGAACAACAGTACTATAGTATGTTTTTTTTTTAATGGAAGTAGAAAATTCTGAGGTGACTCAGAACTAACTTTGATCTTTAAAGTCACAGAACTGAAAAGTTAGACTGTCATGGAAAACAACTGCTAATGTATTTTCAGGGATAAACATTCGGATGCTATGGTCTTAGCAAAAAAAGGGCATGATGTTATTTAGTGAACTCTCCAATTCCTCTAAAGTGTAATTATATAAAACATGCCTTTAATTACTTAGAGTGGCTTATTATCTTCCTTTGCTTGAAATATTTGTCTACTCCCTTATTCTCTTAAAATAAAATGAACAAGTGCAATATTCAGCATATACTTCCTCAAATCATTCATCTTCCTTTAAAATTATGACTAAGTGAGTTCATGTTTGTCTTCAAAACCTAAAAGCAACAACTGAAAATATCTAGCGCAGTCAGCACAGGGAATTCCTGGAAGGGTGATGGTGCATCAAAAGGCTAGCAACTCTACTGCAATAGAATAATAAAAACCATTAAAACCATTTAAAGGACTGTAAATTCAGCATCAGTGGCATTTCTGGCAGGAAAACATTTCTAAAATTCCACCTCCAGTTTATTTCTTCATGACACAAACCAAAAGACCTCCTATCTAGATAGCTATCTACTGCAAATAGTCATATAAAATAGAAATCAGTCGCTAGGATAAAAAGCCAGAAGAATTCATTTTCTCTGCTTGGAACCTAAGCAGTTTCATTTACTTTTGGAGAAAAATATTAATTAGTAAGTGAACGAGAAAAAAAAAAAGGTCCCACCATTCCAAATTTGTTTTTCCTTTTTTGGTAATTCTTCTGTGAGCATGTTAAGTTATAAAATATAATGAACATAAATTGTAAAACAGTAGACAATGCTCATTTTTACACTAGAAAATAAAACTTCCCACAACAGTCTAATGTTTCACATATTTTCTTTAAAGCCCATCAAACTGCCAAAATCCCATTCTGTTTTCAACAAAAAAGAAATATTTGTAGCACTAAACTGGACTGATGCCACCTTAGCCTAAATGTACTGCTTGATAACATTCTTTTAAATGGTCCAGACGACTGAGGAAATGAGGCTGTGAAAGGGAAATTTGATTAAGAGTTAAAATTACCACTGAGTTCTTTAAAATGTACTAATGAATAATTAATAGCAAATGCAGTTCCTAGGCTTCCCTTACAACAATATTCTCAAGTAGAACTGAAAGTACCGTCTGTAGTACAATCCATCAGCTACGTGTCGCACAGGTGGATACAGGAAGTATAGACACACAGAAAGGCATTATGAAAATACACACACTAATATGGGCCATAACACAGATCTGGGACTTGGGTAAAAAATCAGCATGATAAATTTTACATCACGATTTACAACTTTAACACATTAACACCAAACCAAATCACCTCTTAAAAAGCTCACAAGTCAAAAGCACTAAAGAACTCCTTTGTTCCTATGATACTGTCTCCTTCTACCCTAACTGGATTCCAGCCTCCTCCTTTGTGACACGGGATTTTATTGATCTCAAACATGTTCACATTCAGAAATTAGTCTCCAAAGACATCCCAAGGGACTGCCAGCCACCTAGATACCGCACATCACAGACATCTCAGAAAAGGACAAGAGCTTTGAAAACATATCACTATTTGGTCAGCAACATTTAGTGAAGTTAACCAGGCTCTCTTGGAAACAGACTTTTCCCTTAACTGGTAAAAAAGAAATACCAGATCTACTCAAACTGGCAATAAATGTTTGATGAGTTAATAAATTTATAAAGGCGCAGATCCACCCCAAGATTTCTCCCCTTGTGTAACTCCTCATTCATTCAACAACTGAGCACCCAAGTGACCTATTTTCAGGTTACTTTCTTCACACCTGCCAGGTCACTGTCCTGATTGAGAAACTTCTTGCTAAAGCAATTAATTTTTAGTGCCTCCTAACTGTCCCGGGTGTTTGCATTCAATTTGAAATCTGTTACTTGTTAGACACTGTTCGGTCCTAGATCTTTCAGAGAATTGGGCGTTTATGGCGCAGAGAGGGGAGGAGACACGGATCTCTGAGAGCCTGCCCTTTATTCGGAAATGAGGAGATTTGAAAGGTGGAAGGCAGGGCAAATAAATAAATAAATCGGGTTTGCCGCCGAAGCGTTTGCGGGCCGGTACGAGCACCCTTTGTAATGCAGGCCTCCCGGGGCTAACGCCTGCGCTAATTGCTCCAGGGAGCTTTTCAAGTTCAAAAGTTCACCTTTTACGACCTCACAAAAGCTCCTTACACGTTACCAATAAAAACATTCCGCGGCAAACACTGAGGGGGAAAATATCAAACAGATACAAATAAAACACCCTGCGGGGGTAGCACAGAGCCGAGGGGAGGAGGGTGAGTCGGGCCCAGCCAGAGCCCCGAGGAACCTGAGGACTTGGCCCGGACGTGGGGGCAGGGAGAGAGCGGTGGGAAGGGCCGGGCCAGGTGAGGAATCCTCCGGCCCTGGGCTCCGGGATCGCGAAAGGAAGAGGAGAACTGAGGTTGGGCAGGCGCGGGCCAGGACAGACGGGTTTAAGAAGGGAAGAGGCTGGTGTCCCGGGCACCCGGTCGGGCCGGAGCTCTGAGCCAGCGGGCAGAAGGGGCTGAGCAGGGCGGGGGAACAGGCGGGCAGGAGAGCGCGGGGAAGGAGCGCAGAAAGGCGGGGTGCGGGGTCCGAAAGAGAAGAGAACCGCTGAGCCGGCAGCTACGGAACTGGGGGTCGGCACCGAGGTGGAGGCTGGGGCAGCAACGGAAGCGCGGCACCGCAGAAGAGAGGGAAAGAGGCTCCATAAAGGTGAGGGGCAGAGAAAACCAAGGGGTCGAGGGTGTGGCGGCGGCAGGGCGCAGAGGGAGAGTCCACGGAGGGAGGAGGGACCCGCGTGGGGGAGAGTTGTGGGGGGGAGGGGAAGAGGCTCGTCGCCGAAGGGACCCTTTGGGGAAGAGACCCCCACAGAAGAGTACCGGGGGGGGGGGGAAGGGGAGGCTGGGAGCGGAGGGAACCCGAGGGGGAGGGGGCTTCCCCACTGACGGGACTCGAGGTGAGGGGACCGGGGGAGAGCGAGAGGGGCCGGCGCAGAGGGGACCTAGGGGAGGGGGGAGGATTCGCGCAGAGGGACGGGGGGAGGGGAGGCCTGTGCTGAGGGGACAGAGGGGAGGGGAAAACGAAGGTCGGGGTGGAGGGAACCCGGCAGGGGGAGGATCCGCGCGGAGGGGAACCGGGAAGAAGGGGGAGGAGAGGGAGGGTCCGCGCCGAGGGGGACCGGGGTGAAGGTCCGCGCTGAGGGGATCCCGGGCCGCCGCGGCTTCCCAGAGTGAGAGTCCGCTGAGAGGAGGGGAATCCCCGGGGTAGGGGACTGGTTCTCGCCCGGCGAGACTCTGCACGCCCCTCACCCACCGTTGCGCGGCGGCGGAGGGAGCGCGGCGGGCGGCTCCAGGAACCCCGCCGAGCCCCCGCCGCCTCCCCCTCCGCTAGGCGGCCGTTCGTCCCGCTCCATGCGGTGGTGCTCAGGGCCCGCGCTCGGTTCGCTGCTCCGCCATGACCGGCGCCCTCGTCGTCGTCGTCGTCCGCCGGGGGGGAGGGGGCTGTCAGGGGCCGGCGGGCTGCCGGCCGCGGCGCTCTCTGGGCCCCGAGCCGCCGGGCTCCGCGCCCCTCCGCGCCGCGCCCCCTCAGCACTGGCCAGCTCCCACCCCCGACGTCACGCGCCGCTGCCACGCACTGCCCTACGGGGCACGCTGGGAATTGGAGTCCGCCGAGCGAGGCCGGCCACGCGGGACCCCACCAACTGAAGGGGTGGGAGGAAGGAAAAGCGGCCTTGAGAAGGGAAGGCCAAGGCCTTTCAAAATCATGAACCCTGATGAAAACTTCTGGTAAAAATTGAATAAAGATTGCTTCAGGACCTTCTCTTTATTGTGATTTATCCATGTTCAACATCCCCTATGACGCCTCGTATCCCCCCGCCCCGAGAATGAGTCTTTCCTAGAAGGCGGATCGCGAAGGAGCCGGGTGAGCACGTGCAATGAAGCCCAGCCCTGTGGGCGGGGCTTATAGGGGGCGGAGCTTGGGTATTCACGAGGGCCTTCCTCCGCGGCTTCGGGACAAATTGGACCCGAGATTAAAGGGCCGGAGTTTAACTCGAGGTGACTGCGTTCGTATGCAAATGGAATCTATAAAACTCCGCTTTCCGGAGTACTCTTTAAAGCCTTTTACCTCCGGGTGGGCGGGAAAGGTTTAAGTTTCTCTTCCTCCTCTTTCATTCTCCCCCTGCCCAAAGAACAGAATGGCAAACTAAGCTTCAGGCCATTGATGCCGATAAAGAAACTCAGATTCTGGACTCCTGAGGTCTTGAAGCCCTCCGTTTGCGAGGGTCCTTACCCGGTTTTGTTCGCCTTCCCTTCTCCTCAGCTTTCCTATCTGTAAAATGGGGTTGGAATAGGGACGGGGTCCAATTAGAAGATCCCAATCTCCCCCACACCCGCTCCTTGCCTCAGTTTCCCAGAGCAAAATCCCGGATTTTGCAATTTCCGCTGCTGAGCCCACCTCCTGCGGCCACCAGGTGGCGCGCGGCCTCCAGCCTCTGGGCCTGCCGGGGGCGTACGCCTTCAGCGACCCTCTCAGGAAAGGGCTCATCGCGGCTGCCTCCCAAGGTCTAACCAAGCTCTACCTGGCCTGTTCGAAAACAAAGAACAAGAACACTGGTTCCTTGCCCACCTCTACTCTGCTGGGTTATGCTGCAGCTTCCTCACTGGCTGCCCATTCCACACCCTGACCCCTACCCCGCCCCACCAATCAGTTGGCTCCTCTATGTCATTGCTTGCTTAATTTTCAAGTCCTCATCCTGGCATTCGCACCCTTGCCTGGTCTGACCCCTGCCACATTTCCCATTATACCCCTTCCCTCACCTGCTAGGCAGGATGTTTTGCAATGCTTCCCTGCATTTATGGGTTGGTTGGCTGTTCCTTACCGACACCGGTTAACCTGTACTGCATCCTTAATCTGCTCGGGCTACCGTTCTGAGAGACTTACATTAACGCTATGCTCTGAACCTCATATCTGCACTATGAGGTAGCTCCAACATTGCCACTATCACACACTGATGAAATCACCCATCAGTAATGGGGATTCCAAAGCCAGTCGGTCAGACACCTGAACCTGAACGCTTGGCTCCTTCACACTACTGGCTTCACCCAACACAATCCCAAACTCCTATTCATCTTTTAAGATCCTGTTCAAATAGCCCCTCACGGATATTAATATCTCCCACCAGGGAACATCTAGTTCCCCTCTGTGTTCCCTTACTGCTCTGTTGAGCTCTCAACTCTCTGTGGACTGTGAGAAATGATCTCTCTGTGATTGCTTCCCCACTACCGTTCCCCAGCCCCAGAGCGGGAGGGGAGCCCTTAGAGTTGGGGGTCGTGGGGGGGGGAGGGAGACAGAGGAGATGGGTCTTCTGGGCCATTTCCTCAGTTCTGGGTTCTAAAATGAGTTAGGACCAGGTGGCCTTCCTAGAGCCAAAGCTTGCTTTTGTCATAGACCTCTGGAGGCAGTGAGTTCCCCTTCCCTGGAGATCCAATCAGGGCCTAAGTGGCACTGCAGAAACCTCCGGAAGGACTGGGGTTTCAGTGGTGGATGAAATTCTAAATCGACTCTCAAAGATGGACAGAAAAGTTCAGCCAAATGCTCAGCCCTTGGAAGTAGCTCCTCCTCATCCTTCAGACTCCAGCTCTGTTGTCACTTCCTCCCAAAAGCCTTTCTATAAACTTATTTATTTTATGTATTTATTTTTGGCTGAGTTGGGTCTTCGTTGCTGCGCACGGGCTCTCTCTAGTTGCGGCGAGCGGGGGCTACTCTTCATTGCGGTGCACAGGCTTCTCATTGCGGTGGCTTCTCTCGTTGCAGAGCACAGGCTTTAGGCGTGCAGGCCTTGGTAGATGCAGCACGCAGGCTCAGTAGTTGTGGCGCATGGGCTTAGTTGCTCTGCGGCATGTGGGATCCTCCCAGACCAGGGCTCGAACCTGGGTCCCCTGCATTGGCAGGCGGATTCCTAACCGTTGCGCCACTCGGGAAGCCCCCAAAAGCCTTTCTAGATCTCCCTTTTTTCTCACTCTCATCATTATAACCCCAACTGCTGAGCACAGAACCTGAACACAGTAGACACTCAATAAATAATTGCTGAGTGGGTGAAAAAACAAGTAAAACATATCTGATTTTTCTACTTAATAAGTGCAACTTTGGTTACCTCCAAGCCTCAAAGTCCTGGTTTCTAAGGGGGGAGGGATAATAGTGATAGTTACTACCTCACAGGATTGTTACGAGAATCAAGTAAGATGATGCATGCAAAGCAATTAATATAAGGTCTGGCATAATAAATGGGACCTGTTAACTAATGTTATTTAAAGAGTGGTCCTAATTCCCAGTTACTTCTCTTCTGAAAATGCTTCTTGGGAAGAGTCAACTACCACAAAACTGAGAAAGGTGAGGGAAATGACTGTGTCCTGAGACCCCAGCCACTGACTGTTCTAAGCAGAGAGGGTCCTGTGAGGTAGGCACTTACTGTGGACCCTTTCCCTTACATTGTCCCCCCAACAATCCTGAGAGGTCAATACTTTTCTCCCCAGATTACAAATGAGAAAACAGGCTCAGAAGGACAGGTGAAGAAGACTCCCCCACCAGCAGGACAAATGACAAAAGAGCTAGGAAGGAAAATATCTAAGAAGAATGAAGGATCTGGGGGTGGGGGGAGTGCTGAGGTCAGAGGTAGACAAACAACCAGTCAGAGCTACAGCTAAGAACAAGGCAGGTAAGGGCTCCATCATGAGGGCCTTGTCCTGTGGTGGGAGAGACAGACACTAATCAAACAAAATAATCACATACCCACAATTACATATAAGTGCTACGACTGAGAACATGCTTAGAGGTTCCTGGTGCTATGGGAGTGTGTGACAGGGCTCAATTTGGTCAGGGGCGGGGACGGGGGGATAATGAGCATTGAAGATGGAAGGATGAGTAGGAATGAGTCACAGTGAGTGGAGAGAGAGAGTTTCAGGGGGAAGGAACAGCCTGTGCAAAGGTCCCGAGGTCATGTTGAAACAGAAAATTCATTGTGGCTGGAGCCTACCCAGGGACAGAGTGCAGGAGACAAGGGTGAAAAGGAGGAAGCCGGAGGAAACCATGGGGCCATGTGGGAGAACAGCCAGCAGGGGGGGCAGAATTCTCTGATGACAGCAGCCTTGCTCTTCCAAGACCTAGCCAGAGAGTCCCAGCCAGGCTGCATGGGGAGAAAGGGCTGGGAAAGGGAACCCCCACCAGGTTCTGTTTGTTTTAAGTACATTTTGTCTATTATCTGAATAGATAGGAAACACACTGCAAAATTCCCAGGTTGCAAAAAAGTATTCAGTGAAAAGTAAGCCTTTCTCCTTACTGGATTCCCAGCAGCTGGCTCTCCTCCTTATCCATTAATTGTGTCCATTCCCAGATTGTGCACATAAGAACACACACCATATTTGTTTTGTACACTAATCTAGCCCTCCCCAGGGGATCTCTAGTTATGAAAGAAGCTAATTTGTACTGAACACCTACTGCACATGATTCTTTAATTCAACTGAGAGTTATGGACCACCTGACCTTGTGCTGAGCCAGTGGTTCTCAAATTTTAAATCCCCTGGAGGGCTGGTTAAAAACCACAGATTGGGGACTTCCCTGGTGGCGCAGTGGTTACGAATCCGCCTGCAAATGCAGGGGTCACGGGTTCGAGCCCTGGTTCGGGAACATCCCACATGCCGCGGAGCAACTAAGCC